TTCATTTTTGCTAACCTTTGTTTTTAGCTTTATGTTTTTATTTTAATTTACCTAATTCTCTGTAGCAAAGAAAAAAATCATCTTAAAAAAAATCCCAAAGTTCAATCCCTTTTAAAGATAAACAGTTCCTCCAGAAAGGTAAAATCCACCAATCTTCTTTTTATCTGGCCAATTGCATTTTCATCACAGATTTACGGTATCTATAATATTAAAATATGAGTTTTCTTCTTAACTTTTTTCACACGCGTGTTCAACTAGTTGTGTATTTATACAATGTAATAATACATAGTAACTTTACGTTAAAAAAGTTAAGCACCCACGAACTCAAAATCCTAGATCCGCCACTGGCACCGAGAAAGAAAAATAAGTTCAAGTTTTGTTCACTAGCTGTTTATAAGTATTTTATGTCATCATATCAAATTGACCTATAATACCAGTTAGTTTTCATAATAAACCTAATATAAAATCTATAAATAAAAAATTAGCTTACTATAATTAATTGAACTGTATTAATATTAGAAAAATAATTCTTACTACTTGTGTATATAACTTAAATTCCAGACAAACAAACGAAAATGAAGAAAGCAAAGAAGTTAAAATGCAAGTGGCTCATGTCGAAGTTGAAATTATAGTTTAGTCTACATCAAGAGCCTCTCCTTCCCTATCTACTCATAGTTACATGAATTATTATAGTACTGGCGGAACCATTCTTTTTATTTTTATTTTTATAATCATTAAATATCCGAAATTTACTGGTTTGACTAATTTGTTTTCGCATTACGAGTGGGGTTCATAAAAAGGGGAAGCTTTTCTACATAATTTTTTGTACTCACGAAGCTCGAACCTAAAATCTCTAATCAAGAGTGGAAAAATCTTATTTATCGTATCAAGACTTCTCAGCGCAGAGGCGGATTCAGAATTTCAAGTTTATGAATTTGAGATTCTAATCGTTTTAAGTTACTGACTTCTAAATGAATAATTCATATATATTCACATGAATTTTTAAAGACAAATAAATAGTTCGAATCAAAACTATTGTGTTCGGCCGAATCGCAGCCGAGCGGTGAAATCACTCACTCTCATATGATAGCAAGTGGAGGCTCTTTAAATGTAAGGAGTGTTTCCTTACTTATAGCCACAAGAATAAGATACGACGATTGGCGTGCTAGCAGAGAAGACAACGTGATGAAAATGAAATTATCGTACAGCTCAACTTTGATTCCTCAGTGTTTAATGTTTATTTTGGACAATGATTATTCTGAGGAGACTGTACAACAAGATATTAAAGATTTTCAAAAACAAATGAAACTTGGCTTTCAAACAAGGCCTAAACAAAGAATTAAGAGCTCTTGATATTATCTTTTCGAGCGGTACTAACTAGTAGAGACAGAGCTAGCATTTAAATTTTATATGTTATAAATTCTAGGGGAAAAACATCAATATTACAAACAATTTTGGAATTATTTTTAATACAAATTTAATGAATATTTTTAATACAAATATAAGATTTGAATTAAAGTTGTTGAGAATAATTAATAGACCTCAGAAATAATATTCAAGATATTAGCAAGATATATAATCATGTAACAACGAGTTACGATAATCAATAAGAATTAGAAAAAAAGTAGCAACTAAATAAGGGAAAAACATGACTCTCACAAGAGCAAGTAATATCACTACAGCAAGAAAGTTTTACACTTTACAGACATGAGTAAAATACTCCAAAATTCACTATACACTCAAAAAAAAAAAACTTTTGATTTTTTTACCACACTGTAATATCACTCAAATCTCTATTTTTCCTCACATACTATTTTTCATTCCACTACCTGTGAAATGCTCACTGTTTTTTCTCTGTATTCGGTGTGTTACAAATGCAGAAGAACTTCCTTATTTATAATTCTTTTTTTCTTTTTTTAGTAAGAGCAGAAACTCGCAGTCGCTACAACCTCTGTCTTTCGGATGCGCACTCTGTGGTAAGCATTTTGTGCGCACTGGATAAACTGCCCCCTGTGTAATAGCTTGCAAACCACACAGGGGATATAAACCGTATTAGGCAAGCCCTATGCGACATGCTCAACTCAAAAGGTATTGAGGGGAGATTGAATCTCAGTATATGGATGACCACCTTCCAAACCAACTAGATAACCCCGAAAGGTTCCTATTTATAATTCTTACCGAATGTAAAAAAATATTTTTCTTAAAACACACCCTGCTAACTAGTGTGCAGTGCACATTTTGAACTAAAGAGATTTGACGGCACCCTCTCGTTCTTTCAAATTGTGTTTTGTAAAGGTTTTGGTCTAGTATATATGCCTACTGCATGTTATTGTTCGTCTTAAATAAAAAATAACCACCTCTTGATGTTTAATTTATTATCAACTGGTTTCATTTGCACTCTAATTAATAAAGTGCAATGTTCTAATTAAGTTTACAAATATATTTGAATAATAATCATAGTAAAAGAAAAGGAGATATTTGACTCGTTCAACAATAATATACTACTCCACTATGCTATTTAAACTTGACAGATGGAGTACAAAGGTTCTATGCAATATAGTGGAAATCCAAGCCATAGTTTGGCCAGTGAAAAAAAGGACAGCCATTAGTATATCCTCTATTTATAATATAATACTTCAAAATTACTAATACTGAAAATATCTAAGGAAAATATGCTTAGTGTATGTCGATACTACCTCGTATGACTTCATTTTCAACTTATGAAGTAAACACAAGTCGCAACATAGATTTTATATTTTTTAATATTATTTTTGTACATTATTATTCTAATACATGATTGCTCAAGATATTTCTGTCATGACGAGTGCAGTGTAATTGAAGTATCAGTTGTTATTTTCTACGTATAAATTATTTGATTTGATATAAATATTCGAAGGAAATAAATATTTACCCGTCTTTACATAAACATACGTCCTCATACGAACCTTCTTTTAATCATTGAAGCTTTAAATTCATTAATTAATATATAATGAGATATCACAGTTTCTCATCAAACCTTTGATTAATTAATAGTCAGATATCACATTTTCTAATCTACAAACATAGTCGGCGGCAAAACTAAAATTTCAATTAAGGAAAGTAAATATACAAAAAAAGTCGAGATAAGGCCGGAGCTAAAGTGGTACAAAAGGGCTCATCTGAACCTTTTCACCGGAAACTTACTTTGTGTATGTAAAAGATAAAAGTTATTTTTCTATTTATAAAAATAAATATTGAATCCTCTTAGTTTCTTTGTGTTTACTTAATTATTATATCATGAATCCTCTTATTAAAAAATTTGGTTCCGCCACTAATCAATGGTATTCAACAAATAATATTAACATAAAAAGATTCACCTACTACACAATACTCTTTCCATTTAAAAAAGAATGAACCTCTTTTACCTGGTACGTGAGGTTTAAAAAAGAATGAAAGACTTTTAAATTTATACTCTAACAATATATAAATATTTGTGTAGCTATAAATTATCTAATTAAGGTAATAGTCAGATATCACGTTTTCTAATCTACAAACATAGTTAGTGGCAAAACTAAAATGTCAACTAAGGTAAGTAAATATACTAAAAGGCCGAAATAAGGCAGGAGCTAAAGTGGTACAAAAAGGCTCATCTGAAAAGAGGTGGACCCATGATTTGAGTATGATAAGAGCACCATTATCATTGGAGTGTATTACCCAAAACTTTATTAGCCAATAAAAGAATACATATAAACTCTAGGATAGACCAGTAAATAAGTAGCATATTCCACTATATAATATAAACTTGCTAAGCAAAAAACTACAATAAAGTAAAAAGAGCTTACGCTTTAATTTCATCAGACTCCCCAATTGACCCGCGAACACAAGCTCCAACTTCATCATACTCCCAAATTGACCTACGAACATAAATTTTAAAATAAGTATTCCAAAAAAATAATTATTGCACAGCCTTGCGCACACATGAACTAAACTGGAATAAACTTTAAAATGTAAAACAAGCTTAGTGGCCTTAATAGCAATTCGCGACATACAAACAATAATCTACTATTGTCCCAAAAAGAGAACTAAAGAAGGCACAACTTAAATCAAAATACAAACTTCAATATTATAGAATATCTTTAATTGATACTAATTTAACAAAAGTACATCATCCACTTATACTTGAACTCGACGCGTTCTCATACTCTGAAAACGGTCAATAATAGCATCATTGCTTACATTTGCAAATACTTCTTTTTCAAAGTAACAAACTAAACAATCATTTAAAAATGCATCACCAATATTACTACGCAATTCATCTTTGATGTACTTCATGGATGAGATGCTCTTTCTACTGTTGCAGTCGCGACAGGTAAAATTAGAGTCAACTTTACAAGTGAATATGCCTCCACAAGATTTGCTTCAACCAACGCTTTTGCCAAATCACCAATTCCTTTCAAATCCGAGAATCTAGGGTCACCATGTTTCATGTGCAATATGAAAGTATCAAGTTGGTGACTAAGATCTCGAAGCTTCAATTCACCAAACTCATCTGGATAATACTTGGCCAATGTCATTATTCTTTTCTTATCAAAATTAGCAAACGAATTAACTGGATTCAAGCTAGCCATACCAAGAAGCAAGTTACCACTAACAACATCAAAACGACTGTTAAGTTTCTGAAATTGCAAATCAATCACTGTGTAGAAAAGCTCAACACGTAAGTGATGTGAATAAGTAACACTAGAAGGCCTACGCTTCGACTTTTCAGGAATATAGAATTCTTCCATATTGGGCACTAAAATATCATGCTTAGCACAAAACAAAGAGACTTCATCCATTAATGATTTCCATCCTTCATTTCTCATTTGTTGCAACCTATCCTTTGTAAGGTTAAAGAAATATTATGGCATTGACAATATCATGCTCTTTCTTCTGTAAAGCTTTACTCAGCTCGTTCGACATCAACAATATCTTCAACATCAAGTGAAGCATGAACACAAATTCAAATGAATTGATTTTACTCAAAAAGGCTTCTGCTTGCAATCTATCATTAGCTCAGAACCTTCATATTCAATCACCCCAAACACATGAACAATAGATGCAAACAAAACAACAAAGTTATCCAATGTTTTACAATGTGATACCCAACGAGTGTCACCTGGCCTTTGAAACCCTCGTTCTTGATTTAATCCTTTCCCACTTTGAACTTCACCACTCTCTAGCAACTGCTCCAATAATTCTGCTTGATGGTCCCGAAATTTATCTCTACGCTTAAAGGATACTCCAATCACATTCAACACATTAGCAGCTATAGCAAAGAAAGTTTCCACCTCCTTATGTTTTTTAGCAACCGCTATAAGCGTCAACTGTAATTGATGAGCAAAACAATGAATGTAATGTGCCGAAGGAGTTTCTTGCAAAATTAAAGCTTTAAGACCATTTATTTTTCCTTGCATATTACTAGCTCCATCATACCCTTGTCCACATATTTTGGATGGACTTAATGAGTGTTTCATAAGCAAAGAAAGTATTGATTCCTTCAACGATTTTGCAGAGGTATCACCAACACGAACATGACCAATAAATGGCTCGTTCACTTGGCCTTTTTTGTCAACATACCGCAAAGCAAGGGACATTTGTTCATGGTATGAAATATTCTTGTGCACAAGCACTCACAATGTCCTTTTGAATTTTTGGCGAAGTCATCATATCATTTTTTGGAGCATGTTTCAATATGACTCTATCCACTTGAGGGAGCCTCTTTGCAAGCCATTTCAAAAGCCCTAGAAAAAGGCCTTTATTTTTTGAAGAATAACTTTCATCGTGACCTCTAAAAGACAATCCAAAGTACAAGAGGAGCCTTGCAACATCGATTGATGCATTTAAACGAATTCGGTGCTCATTTCTTTATTTCTCAGATTGCTTATCAAAAGCAACTTGAATTGATTGGGATTGATTTGATAAGTCTAACATCTTGTTGAAACACTTGTGGTGGAGGCAATTTACTTGACTAACATGTAAAGCAAGTCTTTCTGAAGCTTTATTCCAGGCCATAAAGCCTGTTTTTGTGAAAGAGTCACCCGTGCTTCCATGAACATAATCATTTTTGAATAAATAATAACATAAACAAAATGCGGCATCTTTCTTCACACTATACTCCAACCATCTAGAATACGAATCTTTAAACCAACCCGGACTAAATTGACACATTTTATTCCCAAATAAAGTTTTAGGAAACTTATGATCAACCGGTTGGAAAGGTCCATTTTGAATGTAGTGTCTTCTTACTTCATCCCGTATTCTAGGACTATATTTATCAATGGGTACTCTCTCTCCAGGATCGGAATTGAGTAATTTTTCATCAAACTCATCTATAAGATGAGAGGAATTGTTTCTAAGAGTAGAACTTGGTTGAGAAGAATTAAACTTCGTCAAAAATACGTCCATCTCAATTTATAAGAACAAGAACTTCCTACAAAAAACAAGTCCAATAAATTTAAGAGTCTATCAAGAATACAAACAAACACGATATAAATAGAGCAATCACACTCCTTTTATAAAAAATAAAACAAATACAACTTATTGAATACTAATACTACAACTCTACAAAAGGACCACTTGATATCTTCACTAACATTTACTTATAAATTCTAGCTATGTTGCATAATTTAATTATATTTTGATACTTGATATTTTCACTAACCTTTAAATATAGTGTTGGTTGCTAGCACAGTATAATTGAAATTGCTTCTCAAAACACTTAATTGACTTCTTTTTGTATATCAAGAATCAGAAACTTAAACATAAATTGAAAAACATGGAGACATTCATTCTTAAACAATCATTCTTAAATAATTTATAGCGTCTGAAAAATAGAAAGAGAAGCCATTCTTAAAGTTAAATAGTAAAAAATTAAGAGATCACTAAATTTCAGAGAAAATAGAAGCTCAACCTAAACAAAATCATTTGAATAATAGATTTGGGGTTTACCAAGAATACCTTTATCGGAGATTCTTGAACCAAAAATTTTAAACCAATTGTTGCTCATTAGATGATAACTCTGCACTATTACACTAATATATCTTTATGAATATATAACTCGTTATTCTCGCTGGAAAGATTTAAGCTTTCTACAGTTTTACTCTAATATCTTTGAAGAGGTCAAGTTGGTGGACTGGCTGAAATTAACATCCATCTCCAATTCTCCATGCTCTTAATCTCTTATAATTTATAAATAAAAAATAAGTTTCAAAGTAAAAGACGCACTAACCAAATATTTGATGCATGCTACTTTTTCAAAGTAATGAGTGAAATTGAGATTGAGGAAGAAGGGTTCTCTATTTTGAAGTGAGAAGTGACGTCCTGAGAGATGAGTTAACGGGAGGCGAGCTTTGATTTTTGATTAAGGAAGAACCGAAGAAGTGAAGAACTGGAGAAGGGTTTAGTCTTTAGGGAATTGACATTTGGGGCTTTTAATTGGAGTATTGACTATTATCTATAACTATTAAAGATTTAAAATATAATTGAATTGAGAAAGGGTGAAATAAAAAATTATAAATTAGTGAACTGTTGACTAGTGACTAATAAATAGTACTATTGTACTAGTATATAATTCCAGTTATAAGAAGTAAAATAAACTTTTTTTTAAAAAAAAGTAAAAGGCGGGTTTCGAACCCGTGTCGTATGACAAGAAGCAGAGCTTATGCTTAGAGGCGGACCATTGCTCCAGGCGTAATTTCGTTAATGAGGGGGCCAAGAAAAATATTTAAGGGGTCCCCAAAGTATATACAACTATACATAGAATATATATACAGGATTTTTGTCGAAGTTAATGGGTGAGGGACTGGTGTAGATCTGCCTCTGCATCTGAACCTTCTTCACCGGAAACTTAGTAGGCGTTTAAACATGAATTCTAAAAAAAATCAAATTTAGAATTTCACTAAAATTTGAATTGAAGATGAAGTTGTGTTTGGTTATAATTTTTGCAACATATATGAATTTATTTTTTCAGCATATTTTGCAACAAAACACTAGCAACTTTTCCATTTTCAATTGAAAATTTTTCAAATTTGAAAATGTATTTTCAAGTGAGATTGGAAAATTTGTAAGATTTTGATAACCAAACGTTGTTTTCAAATAAAAATTTGAAAAAAAGAAAAAAATTCTTATATCCAAACGGGCTCTTACTTTGTGTATGTAAAAGGTAAATGTTATTTTTTTATATATAAAAACAAATATTTAATCATCTTAGCTTCTTTGTGTTTACTTAATTATTATATCATAAATCCTCTTATTGAAATTTTTGGTTCTACCACTGATAAATAGTATTCAACAAATAATATTCACATAAAAAGATTCACCTACTACACAATACTCTTTCCATTTAAAAAAGAATGAACCAATTTTACCGGGTACGGGGTTTAAAAAAGAACGAAAGATTTTTAAATTTGTAATATAACAATACATAAATATTTGCGTGACTATAAATTATCTAATTAAGGATAAAATGATAAGTTTAAGGTTATCTTATTTTCAAATTTCAAAAAGATTCATTCTTTTTGTAATGGATTAGAAAGGAAATAAGTTCGTTCTTTTTTTAAATAGAGAGTTGTTATAAAATAAAATTGTAAAGTAAAGACAAGTATAGAGAGAAACTGATATATTATTCAAACTTCAAACTTATGTACATAATGAACTGAAAACTCTTCTATTTATAGAAGAAAAGAAGCAGTTGCAAGGCTTTTCTTTAGCTGCTTGTAAGTTGTCTGCAGGAGCTGCTTGCAACCTGCCTGCATAAGCTGCTTGTAGATAAACTTCAACAGAGTATTAAATGGATAATCTTCTTCAGGAAGATTATCTATTGCGGAGTAATAAATGAACATCCACAATTTAATTATTTTCATAACACTCCCCCTTGGATGTTCATTAAAAGGTATTGTGCCTCGTTAAATTCTTACTAGGAAAAATCCAGTGGGAAAAATCCTAGTGAAAGAAAAAGAGTACACATATTTAGTAATATGCATTTCTAGCTGCCTCATTAAAAACCTTATAAGGAAAACCCTGTGGGAAAAAAACTTAGTAAGGAAAAAAGAGTACATCGCATATTTTACTCCCCCTGATGAAAACCATGTTTCAAATATTTGAGTCTCCGCATTCCAATCTTGTATACCATCTTCTCAAAAGTTGAA